CAAATCATTGGATTGGAAAGTTATTGGAAAAGATACTGTTTTAGAAAAAATTCAGTGGAAATTCAATGTTGCTGCCGCTCCGTGGTGGGGTGGATATTGGGAACGTATCATCCGGATCCTGAAAGATATGATGAAACGATCTATTGGAAAGTCTACTCTCAATAGGAAGGAATTAGAGGATTCATTGCTTGTTATGGAAGAGGTGATCAATGGGAGACCGCTAACGTATGTTAGTGAAGATAACGACGAATTAGAACCCCTAACTCCCTCCATGTTTATGTCAAACGAATGCGGACTCAAGTTCCCGGAAGGAGATATGAATTCTGAAAATCTGAATTATCGATGGAAGTACATGAAGAAACTGAGAGATGAGTTACGACAACGTTTTCGAAAGGAGTATTTGTCCCAGCTCATAAGTAGAATAAATCAGAAGCCATCTCGTAAGCTGGAATTAAATGAAATTGTAGGTACTTGTTCGAGATGACCGGAATAAACGTGTATTTTGGCCGTTAGGTCGTGTTATGGAATTGATCCCCGGTAAAGATGGAATTGTTCGAGTAGTCAAAGTGAAAACAGAAGTAGGGCTACAAATAAAACCTATTCAAAATCTGTACCCCATGGAAGTGAACCCTTCGAGGACTACATTGATGACGTCATTGTTAACTGTAACGCAGATAGAAGTTGAACGTGAATTGAAACCTGTGGTCAATTGTGGGAGAATGTAAATTATCGAGTTAGTATTATGTATTAGTGCAGCGGAGAGCCGGCGCTAACTCGCTTATTTGAGGTAGTTTTTTTTTTCGGAGTAGAAAGAATTGGGACCCACACCATTTTGTTCAGAAATGTTTGAACCTTCAGAATCTCGCTTTACGACATTTTCGCGTGGTCCTGACAAAAGTTATAGGCCGCTAAAGTTGAAATTTACTCATTTTCGCGCGCGCGACTAGACCACCGAAAGTATTTATTTTCTCAGCAACTAAGCGATATACATCAATAATTCCTTTTGTAAAATGAAAGTACATTATAGCAAAATCTAAAGCAATCATATTTACCTACCTTGTTATGCACAGTTTTTAGAAAAATGACCGTCAACTTCCAAAATTCGTGTAGCAGATGAAAAGTGCGCACTTTGAACTCTTAACTTTTTATTTCACGATATTGATTTCCAATATTTATAGCTCATTCGATGCTCCAAAGCATTGTGATTATTTTATTTTCTATAACATTACCGTGAATTTTTCATAATAAAAAAGTTAGGGTCATTTAAGTAAAAACCTACCGACCTCGCCGAGTCGGTAATCGCGAGTGAGACGGAGAGGGAAGGATAGTCAGCAGCGTTCGCTAAACAAGGAGCGATGCGTAAGAGATTTTACTTTAGTAAGAAATTTCTCTCCGAATACCAAAACTAGCTATTTAGGCCGTTTAGTTTACAAATGCATTCCGCCGAGTTGCATTGTAAAATCTCAAACAATTCATTAACTCCATGTATCTCAGTTCTTTGGTGAAATATATAGGTACAAATAGGTACCTTTCCCTGTAAATTTTGGGGGTTACTCCACATCAGGTATCTCTTGTGCTGTGCTGTATATTGCGAGATCAGCAGTAACAACGGTATGATTTTGTCCCAAAGATTCAGGCTTGTTTTTTGATTTCACTAGACGATGGTTAGGATGGTATTGTAGCTCGCTGGTGGAAAATTCAAAAACGGCATAGGTATATTATATTGAATGGTAGATACCGGAACTTACTTAGGAGGATTATCAGCAGGTACTTATGCTGTTAAAGTCAGTATTCTGGTCGTTATCTAGTGATAGGTAAACCTGGTGGTCAATCATTTCTAGACATGCCGTCTGCATGATCTCGAATTTAAACTTAACTTAAATAATTTAAATATGTAGTCATCTCAATAGTTTCAAAACTTTTATGAGTTTATTTTTTCCCCCCGGTTCTTTTGAAATGTGTTAAATTCAACTTTCAACTTTTAATGTAATAATTCAACCCTCCGGTCGGTTGTCTTACTCTTAACAAGGCTTGATAATAATTCGTTTTGAAACTTAGGACAACCTTTCCGGTTTAACCACCCTTCAGGATTTTTCACTTGGCTTCGGCCAGTTAATAATTAAAAAACAACATGTTCGTCTTATTCGTCTTCAACGTTTGTAACTTACCGTTTTCCTGTTAAATTTCACATCGCCTGATGGCAGTACGCCGAAGCTATAGTCGCTTTTATTTTTAAAAACTTCAACGAATAAAAACTATATGGGGAAGGTTTAGAGAGTTTTGATCACACAATATATTTCAACCCCCATTTCGAGGAACGATGGATCCAAACACAAAAAAAAAAAACCATGTATTCGTTTAGGAGCCACCCTCAAAAAAGTGGTAAAGTTTCTTTTTTTCTCAGCAACAGTTACAGAGACTGGTGGTAAGTCTTTGAGTAGGTTTTGCTGTATGCCCTTTCCGGTTTTGCAAATAATTTTTCAAAATTCCTACCGCAAAAGGACACACCCCTCAATAGGGGTGCGAAAAAATGTTGATTTTGACGAAATTTGGTATCTGGTGGTTTTTGAATCTGAAATTAGTTTTTGAAAATTCGAAAAAAATAATTCCACTGCAATTCTTGGCCGGACAACGAAAATTGACAAAATTCCACGAAGTTTGTTGTCTAGGTACATACTTACGGAACAAAATTATTGAACAGTTTTTCTTAAGGTCATTTTTCAAACAAAAGTTACACTCTGACTCATTTGCAAATTGGTCTTTCGGGTCAGAAAATGTTCTCCGACAGTGGCATAACAAGTACAGTAAACGTCAATATTACATGTTCTGCTAAGGGCGTCTACCTACATTTCACAAAAATTTGTCAAATAAAAAATGATAATTTTATCACAGCGAGCAACTTCGACATCAATGAGGAAACAGTCACAGAATAAGAATAAGTAGGCCATATTCTGTGGAAACAGACGAAAAAAATTCAACGCACAGTCTTTTTTCAAAAGCGAGATACATCGACAGAAGAAATCCAAATTCCTCGTTTACCTATCACTAGATAACGACCAGATAACTGACTTTAACAGCCTAAGTACCTGCTGATAATCCTCCTAAGTAAGTTCCGGTATCTACCATTCAATATAATATACCTATGCCGTTTTTGAATTCTCCACCAGCGAGCTACAATACCATCCTAACCATCGAACTTGCCTTACATGGAAAAAATTTAAAAAGAAATTGTACGATTATCTAGTCAATGGGTGTTTCTACAACATACAAGAATTTTTTATATCTTCCAATATTTAATTGTTTGTTTGTTTAACTGTTCGTTTGTTTAATTAATGTTATATTGACTTGTTCCATACAAATGTTATTTGTCGAAGGAATTAAATAAAAATGAATGAATGAATGAATGAATCGTCTAGTGAAATCAAAAAACAAGCCTGAATCTTTGGGACAAAATCATACCGTTGTCACTGCTGATCTTGCAATATACAGCACAGCACAAGAGATACCTAATGTGGAGTAACCCCCAAAATTTACAGGGAAAGGTACCTATTTGTACCTATATATTTCACCAAAGAACTGAGATACATGGAGTTAATGAATTGTTTGAGATTTTACAATGCAACTCGGCGGAATGCATTTGTAAACGCTAAACGGCCTAAATAGCTAGTTTTGGTATTCGGAGAGAAATTTCTTAGTAAAGTAGAACCTCTTACGCATCGCTCCTTGTTTAGCGAACGCTGCTGACTATCCTTCCCTCTCCGTCTCACTCGCGACTCCCGACTCGGCGAGGTCGGTAGGTTTTTACTTAAATGACCGTAACTTTTTTATTATGAAAAATTCACGGTAATGTTATAGAAAATAAAATAATCACAATGCTTTGGAGCATCGAATGAGCTATAAATATTGGAAATCGATATCGTGAAATAAAAAGTTATGAGAGTTCAAAGTGCGCACTTTTCATCTGCTACACGAATTTTGGAAGTTGACGGTCATTTTTCTAAAAACTGTCCATAACAAGGTAGGTAAATTGAATACTTTAGATTCTGCTATAAATGTACTTTCATTTTACAAAAGGAATTATTGATGTATATCGCTTAGTTGCTGAGAAAATAAATACTTTCGGTGGTCTAGTCGCGCGCGCGAAAATGAGTAAATTTCAACTTTAGCGGCCTATAACTTTTGTCAGGACCACGGGAAAATGTCGTAAAGCGAGATTCTGAAGGTTCAAACATTTCTGAACAAAATGGTGTGGGTCCCAATTCTTTCTACTCCGAAAAAATTTTTTGAACGATTTCGCGGTTCTCTCCGCTGCACTATATGTCAAAGAAACTGTCAATAAAAATTAAGCTTCAGTCTTGTATCCCTTTTGCAAATATAAGCTTGTAGAAAAAATTATTGTGGTTGGTTAAACTCTTTATTTCAAAAAGAATAATGAGAAAGGACAAACAAGAGATAAAGTAACGTAAGTAAATGAATTCATGATAAATTCAAGAGCTGATTCAGGTCGCCACATCACAATAGAGAGAAGAGGAAGGAAAATGTGACACAGAGATAAGAAAGATAAGAGATAAAAGAACAAAATGAAGAGATGGAAAGCGTAAAACAGAGCTGGGTTTCTCGAAATTGATAGATTTAGGAGGATGAAGGAAAAAAAGATAGGAGATTTGAAGAAGCACTTTATTAGTGTACTACAAAAAAATAGAAAAGAGAGAAAGTGACAGAGAAAAAGGAATATACATATGTGATATATATCTGGAGATCAATACAAAATATTAGCGGGAGCGCGTCGGTGACGCTTTGCAATAAAATTTGCATACAGTTGTACTTTCAGGAAGAAATATGGTTATCTTTTTGATATTATTTATGCATTAACTTCAGAGGTTCACATGATATTCAACCATGGGAAATGTCTAATGGCAACCAATATAATTGAATGCATGTGCCTTACATAATAATTATACGTATAATACTGTAATGGTACTAATGGTTTGCACACAATTACAAATTATTAAAATTAATCAATTTCTGGGTACATAAAGTTGACCGGAGTTCTCCTTCGCCCAATTTGCTTTCCAAAATGATCGGGTTCATCACCCTAGTGTTTGCGCTGAATATAATTTTCTGCAATGCTCAACTTATCAGTAAGTATGGCAGTTGCCTTATTAACTATTGCATGTGATCATTTCAGCAAAATTCCAAGTGTGCTCGCGCTCAGATCCTGATATCAACAGCTGCCTCAAATCGGCAATCCTAAATGCGCTTCCTGTTTTGAAAGACGGTACTGACAGCAAGTCGTCCACTGTAATTAACGTGACATTTTAGGAGTAACCGAATATGGTCTCCCGTCCCTCGAGCCGTTCACGCTTCCAAAATTCGTGATTAATGCTGTGCCTCCAACGCACTTTGACCAGGTCTACACCAACATCAAGGTCTACGGTTTCGTGTTCAGTCAAATTGAAGAAGTCACGTAAGCCTCCTTCCCCCCACACCCACACCATGGGGCCATTTTATAACTTCCAATTACAGTGCCCAAATCACCGACGACAGCTTTTTGATTGTCATAAAGGCGTTAACCGGAAAGGTACAAGTAACTTCTGACTACGAATTTGAGGGCGCCCTCTTCGGCGGTGTCGACGCCAGCAGCGCCGGACAATGCAGCGTTAATATAGGTATGTAGGCACACTTCATGGCCAAGTTCACTTAAATAGCATATTCCAGTTAACAAGTCGATGACGGTCAAATTTAGCGGATCGCCGCAAACCGTCGGTGGAGAGAGATACCTGGAGGCGAAGGACATCAAAATAATCGACATCAAGGACGAAAAGGTCACCTTTACCTTTACCTCCCAAGACAAACCGGAGGCGGCAAGTTTGCTAACGAAAAAATTTGACGAACACTGGGAGGCTATATCTATGGACGAAATACAAAAGGCCGTTGGGATTTATTCTGCTGCGTTCCTAAAGGAGGCAAATGTTGTTTTTTCAAAAATTCCATTTGATACCTTGTTCCCAAAGTAAATATTTAAACAATTGGAAATTTAAAAACATTTTGTGTTCATAAGCATTCAACGAATCAAATATGTAATGAACTCCACCATGTTATTGCTAACGTAATACAAATTAAAGGTAATTTTAGTCAAAATTATTTAAATTTAAACTAATCCTGCCAATATGTACACTGTAACCTTCACTTGTTTAAACGTAACTCCGACTGTCATGCTTACAGTACAAGACATGCTCAACTCATTAGAATACCAATAGCTAAATCTTCAATTATTAATAATTCACATATAGTAATAGCTGTGAAGATATACAATTGCATTCCTCAGGGTATAAGGTCAATTCCTTCACTTGATTTGTTTAAAAAAACGCTAAGAATGCGACTTAATTCCTTTGTTTTTTATTCTTTAAACGAATTCTTTGATGTTTTCCAGGAGTTTACGTACCTAGTTTAGTATTTATTAATTTTTAACTGTACATGTATATTTATATTTTCTTGTTGTTTGTTTACACTTGTTTATAATGTTTGTAAATTTTTTGAATTATTCAACACCTCTCTGGTAGAGAATAAAAGTATTTATCTTATCTTATAATGTTCATAAACATTTGATACTCAAAACCCCCTAAAACTGCAAGTATATGCTCAAAAACCTCAAGCCTCCCAAATGCCTTAAATATTTCAAGAAATTCAAAGTTTCCCCCAAATCAAGGACATCAAAAAAATCAAACACCCTATTAAGAGCTATAAAAAACTTCCGTATGTACAGGGTGTCCCATTAAATGGTCACAGGCCTTATCTATGGAACCGTTAATTGAACAGCTTCGGGAAAAAAATTTTTGTCAACAAAAGAGACCAAGAGAAATCGCTGGAAATTATTTTCAAGTTTCTAGTTTCGCCGCTAGAGGACAGCCATGAACAAATACTTCCCCTTGATTAATGAAAGGGTGCTACAGACTGTGATAAAGTTTGACAGGTTTTTCTTTTGTTTCAAATCCACCTTGGATGAATATAAATATTGCAATTAAAATTTGTAAATGTTCGTATTTTCGCCATATCTCCGCTTAGAAAACAGATATCAAAATGCGGTTTTCGCTGATATTCTCACTTTTTCATCTTATTTGATATCATATAATAATTATATCGTTCCATTTTCAAAAACCTACAAAGTTTATGTTAATGTCACATTGCGCCCTCTACCACTCATCACATTTACTAAAAAGACTATTCATGTAAAATCTCCACGAAGTCCACAAAGAGAGCACTTTCCAACAAGACCTATGGGACCATTATTAATGGGACACTCTGTAGAGAAAATTATTGCATTACTTCATTTATTCATAACCCAAGTTGGGAATTTAGAACTTACAGTAATATAATCGCTGTTTGAAATGAATTTTTTTGCAGATGGAAATAGAATAAATTCAAAAACTTCAAACTTCATACCTCCATTTTCTACAAACTGCGAGGGTTTCATGAATTATAAGAGCTTCAAAGGGAGCTAGGGATTTCAAGTGTAACAAAAATCTTAAGAACTCTATCGACTTCATGAATCAAAATTCGCAAGACACAGTGCCTCGTCACATCACAAAAATCAAAACGGTTGAAGTACTTAAAACCCTAGGAGCAATCCAAGCAACCCCACGAAGTTAGTGACCACGTCCGAGAACTGTCACGCATCGCGTCGAAGCCACGAATAAAATCAAAATCAAAGGAAAATCGAGGAACTGCGACATCCTCCTCCGGGGGAGAAGTGAGTGGGAAAAGCCCGGTCAGTACTGAACAAAATTATCGCGGAGCTACTACAAGAGAGGTTGGGCGAACCGCTGCCGCAACGAGATTGGGTCGAGGAAGATTTGGAGGCATATCTAACGAGCATCTGCGACGAGGTGACGCCAAAAAGACGAGTCGACCACGTTCTCTCTAAATGAGGAGATATCGGTGAAAAACGTGCGTGCTTCAGGCACGGCGACAGCTCCAACATTAACAATTTTTAGAGCTCGAAATGGCGCAAAACCGAATCACTTACAGAACCTCATAGAACTGCGACAACCTGAAGTAAATAATTAAGGCACGTTAAGCTCCAAAAAAAGGTTCGCGAATTTCAAGAATCCCTCTCTTGGATCTTAAGTTTTTAAGTTTTGACAAATTAACGCAAATCAAAAGTGTTAAAGGACGCAAGGGGTTAATGACACCAAGAACTTGAGGAGTATCCAGAATTTAGGAAGCACCAAGAAGTAGAACCTCAAAAACCTCAAGAATCTCTATTAAGATCCTCAAGGACAAAAGTCAAGTGCAACAAATGTACCAGAAAATCTCTGCAGACCAAACAAGTCAAGATCTTCAAGAAGCTGAATAACCTAAAACACTTCACGGGTCCCTTACTCCAATGAAATTGTAAAATCCTGAAAAACATCAAAAGCTTTTGCTCAAGAACGTGAAATTTCCTCAAAAACCTCAAATCTTTGATGAGTTTCAAAGATTTGCAACTTGAACCTCAATACTCCCAGGCACAACCCGATCTGAGAAACCTTCCAGTGTCTCGAAACCTCAAAATATAATAACTTCATGAACCTAAAGAAACTCACAACTTACCAGAAACGCCCCGATCACCAAACTCCTAAAAAACTAAAAACGTCGATAATTTTCAAAAACCGTGTCATTTCAAGAACTACCAAGATTTAATGTCGAATTCGGCATAATTATGTTTTAATTCTGTTTCCTTTAGTTTCCCCGCGGGGCGTCCCACTTTAATCTCGTTTAAGTCCTGCTTTGATTAATTGAAAACGTTACCGCCGTTTTCGAAATTGTTTCGTCGATCTCCCGCCGAGTAAACGCGATTTACTTTTATTAGAAAATTTCCATCACGTTTACGTCTAAATTATGGATATTTATATATCGGGGTTAATTACGCGATTCGACAATAACCTTTAATTAACAACCCTTTCAGGATACATCTGCCGCGAACGAAACGCAGTCCGACGAGACCGTTAGATTAATATTTGATAGACGAAGCGTTTTTCTAGATTGTTAATTAAAATCGCCTGTTTTTTTTAACATTTCGAAAGTAATTTCCTTTATCTGTCGGACTTTTCTGGATCATAACGTTTACTTAATGAAAATGAAGAGCAGCGAAGAGCTTTGGCCGGGGATTAAATGAAGTCATAGCAAAGTATTATGAAATAATAAGGGCTTTAGCTGGACGTTTTTATTAAAATCGTCTTTGTAGTCGTTTCCAATTTCCACCATTCACTGATGACTGTGATATTTTATCATTTGCATGTCTATGGATTTATATAGTGGTTTTATAAATGTTTTTTTTTGCTACCAGTCATTTTAAGATCTCTCCAGTGTCTGCAAAGTTATAAAACCCAAAAGTATAAATCTCAGGGCTCTTAAGAACTCAAAGGCCCCAAGCAGATCAAAAGCCTTTAAGATTTTAGTGAAGTGACAACGCCTGGAAAATTTAAATAGCCTGGAAAGTCTTGTGACACACCATAAAAAGGTAGAGGACCACTGTTACATAAGAGCATCATATAGGTAACCTACCCATCAATACTGCAATTTAATTTTCGAATCATCGTTAATGAAATTCAAGACTTAACTGGATATTAAATAAAAAGGACATAAAGCTCGAATCCGAAGATAATCAAAATGTGTAAATTGCTTAAGGTCGAAGGGTTGATGTTTGACATTGAAGATTGTATGATCTAAGGTTGAGACAAGACACGTGTAGTAGGGGTAGATCTTAAACCCTAAGACTAAGCCCGAATCTTGAGAATTGTGGCGTTAAGTTTAAGGCCACAGGGCTTGAGGCAAGTATCGAAGTAAGCTACTCAAAATCTAAGGTTTGAGGTACCATATTTGACACCTGAAGATTAAAATTTCAGGAATGAGAATTGAGGATTAAAAGCCACGGTTTTAAGGGTTGATATTAAAGCCGTGCCGCAGTGAGGTCTGGCAAGGGACCTCGTTGATAAACCTCAAAATTAAAGACTTGGTTTTTGAATCTAACGCTTCTGACTGGGGTTTTGGGTCTAAAGGCTCGAGGATCGAGATTTAATTCTGAAAAAAGTAGAAAAATGGAAAAGGCTTCGGGCTTAAAGGTTGATGGTTGTGGTTCGAGGTTTGGAACTGGGGTTTAGGGTTTGAAGTTTAAGTTTTGACCTAAGTTTGGTGACTTGGTAACCTCAATTCCCTGAAGCTCCAAAAATTTAAATGTGTATAGGGATTCAACAAGTGGTTTCAATACAGCAACTGTCTTTATTCCAAAGGTTTTGCTTGAGGGGTTTAAGTTTAGAAGTTTAAGATTAAATGTTTGAGGATTGCGGTTTATTGTTTGAATTTAGGTGATTGAGGTTATACGTTTAAGTGTAGAGGTTTGAGGTTAAATCTTTGAGGTTAAAGTTGGAAGTTAGAGGTTGACGGTTGAAGGTTCGAGGTTAAAGGTTTGAGGTTAATGTTTAGAAGAAAAGAATGAAGGAAATTTGACATTTGAAGTTAGCAGCTTTGTTGGATATGTAAGGTCCGAGGTTAGATTTTTGATGTTAGAGGTTTGAGGTCATCGATTTGAGGTAATAGGTGTGAGGTTATAGGCTTGAGGCCAAAGGTTTCACGTCAGAAGTTTGGGGTAAGGGTTTTGAGGTCAGAGGTTAGACGTTTGAATTTAGAATCTTGAGGTTAAGAGATTGGGATTGTTGACTGATTTGAAATTAAATGTTAAAGCAATAAAATACTAATACCTTCTTCATTGATTCAAGGGTAATCTATAGGGAAAGCCTAAGTATTTTATTGTTTTTCTATTCGCCCCATTTCGAAATTTTATATCAACACCACGGATTGCTATTATGATATTAGTGTTACAGTTTTATGGTTAAAGGTTTAAAATTGGAGGTTTGAGGCTAAAAGTTTGTGGTTAAAGGTTTGAGGTTAGAGGTTAGAATTTTGAGGTTAAAACATAGAAGTTGGAAGTTTTGGAATAACAGTTTGATGTTTGAGGTTAGCAGTTTCAGGTTAGAGGTTAGGTACATGTTT